TACACAGTAGAAAATTGTTGCTTGGTATTTCATTTCTACATGTAGTCCAACTTTTTATGCTGATAACAATTGAATACTCTATTCTGCTACACTAACAGCCCCTGTCACCACTGGCCCGAAATTAGCACCCGATGGACACACTGATAAGAAATGTTCAGATTCGGCTTTGATCGTTAACAACGTCGGCCATTCGTGAGGGCATCTTAGCCAATCGTATGCCGCCGTGGAGTTTCTCAGCTTCCGCAGCAACTTCGTGACGCAACTTCGTAAGGCACACTTGTTATCATCGGTGCCTCGGGCATTCACCTCACTCTGATCGCTGCGATGCCCGGATGGCACCGATGATAACACGATGCTCTTCACGATGACTCTCACGCTTGGCCTTACGAGGGCAAATTGACACAGAAATGCACACCTGAAATGGATCCTTCTGCAGGTGGTTACTTTACTACTATTTTTTGCATGCCAATACTTTTGTACTTTACACTGCTTGGTTGCTGTACGCAGTACCATATCTGAACCTTCTCCACCTCTGATCATAATCTGATGTCTTAGCAAAAAAAAACCCTGCTCTGAAGGTATTTTCGATTTTGATAAATCCTGCAGTCAGCTTGCTTTTGTCCAATTCCTTTGATATGCAGCAGATGCCTGGTTCTTTTTGGTTTTGCGCTACAAATCTTGTACTTTTTCCGACGCGCTTGCTTTTGAATCCGCTCCGTTTCCCCGTCGCTCTGTGAGCTGCTGTACAACACTTGGTGTACTTTGGAGCGAGTCTGCCCCCAAGCACTTTCTTTCACTTAATGGGTATGATCATTACGTGAAAACGTTACCTATCTTCGCATATGATTGGCCGGATGGTGCCCAGTTAAATACAAGTCCGTGCCTGCAGGATTCAGTCCAGAGTAGAGCAGTTGGAGATTCTGCTCTACCCGACGGGATGTTCTGCTCTTCTAGCGTGCAGTTTGCGATCGTCGTGTTGGAGATCTGAATTTAAATCGCATCAAGTGACTCTGGTTCAGAATGTCTTCGAGTCTGAAGCTCTCAAGTCCCGATACATTGGTGTTCATATCCAAGTCAGAGTGTCAAGTGTATTTCAGCATGATTTTGTCAAGTCGTGTACTAAAGTCATGAAATTGGCTTGACTCGAGTACACACATCTAATAGGTGAGTTCTGAATACACACTATTAACTGCCATCTGAAGGGAGCACAGTTGACACATTTCATGGTATCAGCAGAAACAGTGGATTCCTTCTGGAAGTTAAAACATATGTTTGCTTTGCTTCCATCAGATGTTTGAAATTATGTGTTGATAGATATTCTCCACAATAAGATTAATGCAGCAATTTACAATGTTGACTTTGTGTAAATCAATTTGCCAGAGTAAACAGATTCTGTAGAAAATAAGATGGAAACTATACAGTTTTGATACTAAATATTATCCTTGAATGGAATAAAATCAATATGGGATAAGTGCTGATTAGTTTTACTCTGACCCAGGAGAGATGATCAGAGGGTGGAAGGAGTGTTGACCACCTCATTTACCTACCTGGGATGAAGTATGGGTAGAGTTTCTCAGTGAAGGAAGCAGCCAGTAAAGGAGTAGATAGAGCTGCAGCATTCTTACGTCATAAAGGGAGACCAGACCTTCCTCATAATCCACAAACACCCCACCTTCTGAGGTGGCCTGAGACTTCAGAGAAGAGAAGGACTCAGAGGGATCATCATGAGCTCTGTACTCATTTCCATCTCTCAAACATATAGTCCAGTTACCCTCTTCAGGGCTCAGTGAATTCTCTCCTTCCTGTTGATCGACTCTCTGGCCACTCCTAATTTCCACTCGGTCTTTCCTTTAACTTGAACCTCAAAAGTAAAATCTGCCTGAAGAGAAACTCTGCTTTCCTAAAACACAATACAATCAGAAAATCTCTCTGGGTTGTCTGGGAGATTCTTCTTTACATCACCATGACTCACTTGTTTTTCCATCACCAGACAGAAAAAGTCTGCGATGTGCTGTATCAGGATCAAGAGTCACATCCACTGCGTACCTCTGGACCCTCTTCCAGCTCAGCTTCAATCAGCTTCTTCATCTCTTCACTGAAAGTCCTCCTCAGCTGAACCACAGCTCTCACCACAGTTCCCTCATGTGATGAATGGATGCTGACCTCTGTCCCAGTCCTTGGTGGGTGGACAACTTTAAGGGACATGAATCTTTGGAGAAGATGGAGGTGGTCTTCAGAGTGTGTGACCTGCTCCACCTCAGAGCTTCTCTTCTTCAGCTCAGAGATTTCCTGTTCCAGCTCTTTGATGAAATCTTCCGCCTGGTTTTCTGTAGTTTTCTGCTTCTCTTTGATCGTGTTGATGAGATTGGCCTGGCCTCTCTCAACAGACTCCTTCAGAGCAGTGAAGACCTGAACACCTTCTGCTATCTCTCTGTCCGCTTCTTCCTTACTGAGGTCCACTGAGTGTTTGATCTCCTCAATCTTCAGTTGTCTCTTCTGGATCTTCTGCTGAATGTCTGTCTCAAGCTCAGCCTTCTCCCCTTCATATCCTTCTTTCAGAGGAACCACATCATGCATCTTGTGGTCTAAAACAGTGGAGAACATACGGACACATGTCTGGTCGGTCTTACAGAACAGCTCCAGAGGTTTATCGTGCTTCAGACACATCCTGTCTTCCAGGTTCTCCACAGGGTCGATCAGCTGATGTCTTTTCAGGCTTGAAGCTGTCAGATGAGGCTCCAGGTGAGTCTCACAGTAGGAGGTCAGACACACCAGGCAGGACTTCAGGGCCTTCAGTTTGGTTTCAGTGCAGACGTCACAGGGAACTTCTCCTGGTTTGAAGACTTGTTGCTCTGAGCTGCTGATGGCTTTCTGTTGAGCCGACTGTCTGAACTGAGCTACCATCTCAGAGAACAAAGTGTTGACTCTCAAATCTGGTCTTGTATTAAAAGCCTCTTTACACATGGGACACTGGCACTGGTCACTTATATCCCAGTGTTCAGTGATGCAGTTCTTGCAGAAGTTGTGTCCACATGATGTGCTGACTGGATCAGTGAACACATCCAGACAGATGGAGCAGAGAAACCGATCTTCAGCTTGCAGATAGTTTGCTGCAGCCATATCTACACCTGTAGTGTGGAAGGAGGTACATTTTATTTATAATACAATAACAGAAAAAGATAGACGTGGGATTGATAATGGCCAGAGTCATTACAATTTAATATATGCTGTTTTGACTTGCAATAAGCCAAGCTTGAGCAACCGTTAACATTCAAGACATAATAAGTTTAAGATAGCTACCATGGCAAAACAGTAATGAATGTTTCCTTATCCTGTTGTTTAGACTACGGCTGGGCGATATGGAGAATATAAAACATCAAAAAATGTTTCACCCAACACCTCTAACAATATTATAGATTGACTATTTGGGCACAAAATAGTAACATTTTTGATGGATAATCAGAAAAAGCAAAGGGTTTGAACAGTTTGGTAGTTTAAGAAAGTTCCATCACTTTACTGTAATGCAGCCTTTAAAACCAGGAAATTACAGTTATTAGGGGTGTCATGGTATACGTATTCGTACCAAAATTATTCGATATGGGCCCTTCGGTTCGGTACACGTGTGTACCGAAGTGTACCGAACGAATATAACGTTAAACGTAAAAAATTGAGAACGTGAACAACATTTTGGAAGTAATCTCAGGTGCTGCGTCGCAGCATTCAGTGTAATTTGCTCACATTGGGTTCAACGCGTCATAGAGCGACCAAGTCATTTCATTGGACGAGAGGCATACTATGAGAGCAGGGGCCTCAATTATAAAGGGATATACGTTCAAAAAATGGCTTACGCCAGTTTCTACGCAATGTTTGCGATTTATAAAATACTAACTTGACGGGAAAATGTGCAGTCCTCCACGCAAACTCTAACCCATGCGTACGCACTAGGGCTGCACGATTTTGGGAAAAAATCTAATTGCGATTTTTCTGACAAATATTGCGATTGCGATTCGATTTGCGATATTTGTTTTTAAGCGACCCAACGGAAGTTTATTGTAAAATGCGGCCATATCTCCGGCTAGCAAGGTCGCATCAACGTGCTCCCGTCTCTAGCACCCCCGCAGCCCGAGCTACAAGTGAAAGAACTAAACTTACATGAAACTTCCGTTGGGTTGCTTTAAAGTCAAACTTCAGTTTCAGATACACCCTGTAATAGATGTAAAACATGTGATGGTGCATTACTGACCTGACTCAGATGCTTTGTTTCACCAAACCATCTAGGAAAGCTCCATTGGAAACCATTTGGAAAAGTATTTCAAAAATACTTGGCAGGTGATTGGATCAATCTGTCATATTTGTATTTATTTATAGAAGGACCATGCATACAAAAACATTAATCTCAGCAAATAGAAGAGATGTAATATGCCAGATTATAGCTAATAGCTAATTTCCATATGTGGTCCTCAGGCAGGTTCATAACAATCAATAAACAAATAATAACATTGCATGATCTCTATCAGTCATACAATTTTAAAACCTGATTTAAGTACAGCTCAATAAATTAATACATAGTAAACTGGAAATACACTTACATGATCTCGGTCACTCAAATAATTATAAAGCCTGATTTAAATACAGGTTACAAACATAAAACTTAGTACACTCAAATACACTTAAAGGTGGGGTAGGTACGTTTGAGAAACCTGCTCGAGATACACTTTTTGTTATATTCCATGGAATGCTCTTAACATCCCGATAGCAATGAATATCTGAAGTGCTTTGACAAAAAATCCATAAACAAATGTAATCTGTGGAAGCCGTGGCGCTGTAAAAAGCACGACCAATCATCTGAGCCGGCCCGGCTAAAGTAACTGGATGGCCTACCTGCCCGTCAGCCTTCCATCTGTGCCAAATTTATCTCGTGCCCTCATTGGTCATGTCATGTGTGTTGGAGGAGGGGCTCTGTAAGGAAGTGGCATATTTTTTCCGGTTGTGTATTNGTTTAAGTGCTCCTTTAGATTAATTTCCGAGATGCCAGGGGTGTCATTACAGTGTTGGTTGAGATATACAATAACACATGTTCTCTCTTACTTCTTGACTGATCGAGCCATTCAGATAGTAAGGGTTTTATTTCCTTTGAATTATTGATAACTATCACAAAGGGACTACGAGCTGATCCACTGCATGCTCATCATTGATTATACTTTTGAGTTTGTTCTGGTGTAATGTTGATAATAGCTTCTTGAGTTGTGTTTGAAGTACATATTAAGATGCAGGGATGTGAAAGGTTTATAGTATCAACTCAAGGATGAGGCTAATGTTTGTTGTGGCTCACACTCTATATTAATGTATCTATATCCTGCATAAATCAAAAATACAAGGTTGAAAGTTGTCATAGCTTTCCATAAGTCTCTGTTTAAACATGATGATGATTTATAAACCTAGCAATCTTACTGCTATAGCAAGACATTGAGAATCTGTGATGTCACTTCACCTACTTTTGTTGGTCAAGCAAGTTCCTTCATTTACCTCCCTGCAAAATCACTAATCTGTTCACTTCGGCAACGACTACAAGCTACTAAATTCAGTCAACCATGGTAATAATTTCTTCTTCTGTTCAAACTGGACATTGAACGTAATTTCCAAAGCCACAGCTGGGAATTGTCAGTCGTGTTTTTTGCTCACAGGAAATACTTAGAGGTTTAGGTGAGGGCTGGCACCATAGAGCGTGCAGAATGCAGACTTTACTCTGTAGTCATGTAGTTGTTGCTGGATATATTTGGTCATAAACAATAACGTTTGTGGCTTAAACGTGTCTGCTGGTCTTGGTGCCTGTCCTTAACGACAGAAAGTTTGTTATTCTTGTTGGCTTTCAAATTAGACGAGAAAACGTTTTTTTTTTTTTTTCTTGGACTGTTTTGCAACACGATAGAAACTTTGTTAACACGCCAAATCTCTCAAAGTCAATCGTCTTGACAACAAGCCGATCTATTCACACATGCTCTACCACACATTGTACATTGACTTGATTGAGTCAATGCTGTTGGATTCTTGAATTTGAGGGATTTTGGCCTCAAAAGTCCTTGAAAAACATTGAATGTTATGTTTTAAGGAGGCGACGCTAACACTAGAAGTGTGTGCCAGACATTATTACAGAGACTTTGCTTTCGGGAGCTGTTAGTGTAGAGTCTATTTGAGGTTTGGTCCAAATGATTCTCAAATTGGCGCTGTCACCTACAGCTCCTCTGGGTTGTTGTTAAAAAAAAATTGAAGTTTGCAATGCATGTTTGAAAGTTACATTTGTAAGGTCTGTGTTTCATGGAGTTACGATCCATTGACACCCTACATTACAAACTCTTAAAAATTAAGATCTAATAAGAAGGGTTACTCTCGTGAGTTAAATCCTCTGTTTATAAAGTAGGACATAATTCATTCATATCATCCTTTGGCTTTTTATTGACATGTGTATGCGATTTTTCTAGAGCGAATTATTGGATGGAGCACAAGGGTTTAGGGTTAGGGTTAAAAAAGGCAATGCATACCAAAGTGAAAGCAGTTTACTTGTTGATAGGTAGGTTAAGGAGACGGTACATTCTGTTCAGCAAGACTGATTTCCTGCAACCCCATGTTTTAAAGAAGTTCAAGCTAGGGCTGCTCAATTAATCGCATTTTAATCGCGATTACGATTATGGCTTGCAACGATTACGAAAACAACGTAATCGAAATAAACGATTATTTTTTATATTA